AGTAAATATGTATTGTAGTAAATAAGTAGTACATAAGATGTTAGAGTATAAATAAGATGATTCCAATAAAGAACAACACAGATTTTGTTATGCGACATGCTAAGTCGCAGCTAAAAACAAAACGCGTTTTATTTAATAATAAAACATTCGTTACCAGAGACGACTGCATAAAAACTCCACCTCGGTCAGGTGCAATGCCTGTGACGGGTGGAGTCACCTCCTTAACTGCTCGGGCCTGCGTACGCACCGGCAATAGACCACGTCGTTCGTGGCCCCATGCTGTGCGAACCGGACCGCCTCCACGGCAAACCACCACCCGCCTGGGCAGCACACAATCAGCACACCCACACCTCAACACAACACAACAATAGACACACAAACAAACACTGTAGCACCCACACACCGCCGCCGGCAACTCCTAGTCCCTCCGACAATCTGCTTTGTTTGTCAGTCCAGAATATACCATAACGTTACATCAGTCAAGTGCAACTCTTGCTTCGGCTGGTGCCACTTTAGGGCGTGCTCAGGACTTCGCAACACACGAGATTGGACGACGACAGCTGGTTCCACGTACCGGAATTACTCGGGTTTTACCCGACAAAGGGCTGTTGTTTCGGCGATCTAACCCCGTTTAGGTCGGCGAAGTATCTCAGAAGTTGTCCGTCCATAGGGCTACATTCACTACGTATTCTTCTACTCAGGGCTGGCATCGAGTCAAACCCAGGGCCAGAAACCTACACCTGCTGTGTATGCCGGAGACGATTACACCACAACTCCACCTCAGTCAAGTGTAATGCCTGCGAGGGGTGGAGTCACCTCAGAGTCTGCTCGGGACTACGGCCACATAGACAGTGGACCACGTCGTACGTGGCCCCCTGTTGCTCAAACAGAGCAGCCTCCACGGCTAACCACAGTCCGCCCGAGCAGCCTCACACAGTCACCACAACACAACAACATAATAACACCACAGACCTTACCACAGCCACGAAACACCACATAACACACACAACCGCACCACCACCCACACGCCGCCGCCAACAACTCCTGGTTCCCCCTACAATCTGCACGGTATGTCAGACCAGGATATTCCGTAATGTGACATCAGTCAAGTGCAACACCTGCCTTGGCTGGTGCCACTTTAGGGCATGCTCAGGTCTGCG